ACTATCCAGTGTTATTTTACATTGGATTACTTTATTCAGTTTCTGTAGTATTTCTGACATACCAAAAAAACTCTTTATTCTATTCTATTTATTTGCTACTTTTTTCAGTTTAATTCGAAGATTGAAATCAAGCTTCCATGTGTTACTTAAACTCTTAACAAAAAAAAACAACAAAAAAAAAACAAACATTTAGGTAAGATCAACGTAAAAAAAATGTCTAAATATTTATATTTTTATTTATCTATATCTATCTCAAACATAAAATAACATGATCCTGTTTGATCAAGCTGTGTGACTGTTCTGACTTTTTTTGCATATTGCATCAAAATCCTGTCTATTCTTTGTATGCATTTAGTGTATCTAGAATAAAAAGAGTTTTATATACAGGTTTGTGGCTCTTAAAAAACTTTTGCTGGTAATTTACTCACCCCCATGTCATCCAAGATGTTCATGTATTTCTTTCCTCAGTCGAAAAGAAATTAAGGTTTTTGATGAAAACATTCCAGGATTTTTCTCCATATAATGGACTTACATGGGAACCAGACGGTCCAAGGTCCAAAAGACGGTTAATAACAGTTTCAGATGCAGCTTCAAATGTGTTTAAACGACACCAGACGATGAATAAGGGTCTTATCATGCAAAACGATCGGTTATTTCAAAACTTATTCCAAAAATGTAACTTTTCTAAGGACAAATGCTAGCCTAGCTCTATTCTGTCAGGCGCGTTTGTAACGTCACGTATTACGTAATTACGTTCAAAAGGTCACGGGCGACGTAGCCAGAAGTACAGAATCAAAATCGTCCGACATCGTTGTTTTACCTTTTAATTACTTTTTTGTAAACAGCGTTTGAGTTAGTTTGCACGTTCAACCTATGCGTTCAACTTGTAAACACTGACTCTGTACTTCCGGCTACGTCGCCCGTGACCTTTTGAACGTAATCCTGCTGCCGCCACAGAGTGCCATTTAGTTTTATATAAAGTTTAAATTATTTTATTGTCTCAAATCGTTGATAATGTATACTGACTTTGCCCTATGCTGCAATAAATTTAGTTTTGCATTCATTTACATAAATCAGCTGCTTGAATGACAATTGCTGATGTAATTGGGTTTTCATGTGAGATTCTCAATTCATTCAGTTAACTGATGCTCTGAGGTAGTTTTCAGACTGCAGACTCAGCAACGATTGTATTTAATTGTACAGTACAATTATAACATAGAACAAACATCTTCATTTCATGTCATTAAACATAACAATATTGCTGCCCATACACTGATGAGAAAGTGTGAGTCCGGTGTGCGATACTTGGAGTTGTCCTAGACGTGGCGCAGCGCTGCGCTTCTCATTCGGTGTGCGACCCCCTTTACGGATGTGTATTTCACTGCCACTTCAATTCACTGTTCACACACACACACAAAGTCCCCACTTGGTTGGATAGATATCATTCAGAAAGTTCCCTCTTGGCTAGTGTGCAGCGACACTTCTGTGTTAATACATGTATATGTTAGTAATATAGACGTGTGTGTGCAATGGCACATAACTATGGCAAGTAAATTGTTAGGGACTGCATAACAAAGCATAGAAAGTATATGAAGAGAGAGCGTTAAATAAGAAAAATAGTATATATATATACATAATGTATATAATAGATATATAATTTAACTGTAATGAAGACATATTTCACTGCCAGTTCACACACACAAAGTCCCCACTTGGTTGGATAGATATCGTTCAGAATGTCCCCTCTTCGCCAGTGTGGAGCGACACTGCTGTTAGTAATATATAAATATATAGTTTTAGATAGGTAAGATTGTTTATGTTTTTAAAAGAAGTCTCTTCTGCTCACCAAGGCTGCAATTATTTGATAAAAAAAACAGTAATATTGTGAAATATTATTACAATTTAAAACAGTGTTTTTCTATGTGAATATATATATATATATATATATATATATATATATATATATATATATATATATATATATGTATATAATGTATATAATAGATATATAATGTAAGCGTAATTAAGAAAGATTTCACTGCCAGTTCACACACACACACACACAAAGTCCCCACTTGGTAGGATAGATATCATTCAGAATGTCCCCTCTTCGCCAGTGTACAGCGACACTGCTGTTAGTAGTATAGAAATATATAGTTTTAGATCTTTAAGACTGTTTATGTTTTTAAAAGAAGTCTCTTCTGCTCACCAAGGCTGCAATTATTTGATTAAAAAAACAGTAATATTGTGAAATATTATTACAATTTAAAACAGCGTTTTTCTATGTGAATATATTATATATATATATATATATATATATATATATATATATATATGAAGAGTTCAGATGCAAAAGCCTCTAAATGCCATTTGAAATTTTCTTCTAGAATGATCATTTTTTTCAAGCTTGTATATTTAAATTCAGTACTTTCACTTAAATTACAATGAAGGTTACCTATTAATTGTCATTTAAGTGAAATTACTGAACTTGAATATATAAGTTTGATAAAAAATGATCATTTTTGAAGAATATTTCCAACGGCACTTAGAGGCTTTTGCATCTGAACTCTTCATATATATATATATATAATGTATATAATAGATATATAATGCAAGCGGAATTAAGAAAGATTTCACTGCCAGTTCACACACACACACAAAGTCCCCACTTGGTTGGATAGATATCATTCAGAATGTCCCCTCTTTGCCAGTGTACAGCGACACTGCTGTTAGTAGTATAGAAATATATAGTTTTAGATCGGTAAGATTGTTTATGTTTTTTAAGAAGTCTCTTCTGCTCACCAAGGCTGCAATTATTATTTTTAAAAAAAACACAGTAATATTGTGAAATATTATTACAATTTAAAACAGCGTTTTTCTATGTGAATATATTATATACTATCTATATATCTATATCTATCTATCTATATATATATATATATATATATATATATATATATAATAGATATATAATGTAAGCGGAATTAAGAAAGATTTCACTGCCAGTTCACACACACACACAAAGTCCCCACTTGGTTGGATAGATATCATTCAGAATGTCCCCTCTTTGCCAGTGTACAGCGACACTGCTGTTAGTAGTATAGAAATATATAGTTTTAGATCGGTAAGATTGTTTATGTTTTTTAAGAAGTCTCTTCTGCTCACCAAGGCTGCAATTATTTGATTAAAAAAACGGTAATATTGTGAAATATTATTACAATTTAAAACAGCGGTTTTTTATGTGAATATATAGTGAAGTGTAATTTATTCCTGTGATCAAAGCTGAATTTATCATCATTATTTCAGTCTTCATTGTCACATGATCCTACAGAAATTATTATAATATGATGCTCAAGAAACATTTATGATTATTATCCATGTTGAAAACAGTTTTTTACATTTTTATTGCAGGATTCGTAGATGAATAGAAAGTTAAAAAGAACAGAATTAATCTGAAATGGAAATATTTTGTAACATTAATCACTACCATTCAAAAGTTTGGGGCCAGTAAGAATTTATTTATTTTTTTATTTTTGGAGAAAAGAAATTCGAAAATACTTTAATTCATCAAGGATGAGTTAAATTGATCAAAAGGATCATGTGACACTGAAAACTGATGTGTAATCAGCAACAGTAATGGTGTTGAAAATTCAGCTTTCAAATTACATTTTAAAATATATTAAAATAGAAAACAGTCATTTTAAATTGTCATAATATTTCACAATATTACTGTTTGTCATTTTTTTATCAAAAAAAGCAGCCTTGGTGAGCAAAAAACTTACTGATCTAAAACTTTTGACCGGTAGTGTATATATATATATATATATATATATATATATATAAATATAATGTAAGCGTAATGAAGAAAGATTTCACTGCCAGTTCACACACACACACAAAGTCCCCACTTGGTTGGATAGATATCATTCAGAATGTCCCCTCTTCGCCAGTGTACAGCGACACTGCTGTGTAGCAATATAGACATGTATATGTTTGAGCATTATATAATGACACACCCACACACACACACATATATGTGTATAAGTATGTATAAGTTACAAAATGAAGACAAGATTTCACTGCCAGTTCACTTCACTGTTCACACAGACACACAGTTCAATTGCAGGCTATATGAGTCCCCTGTTGGTAAGGTAGACATCGGCCAGAGTTTCAGGTCCCCACTTGGCATGTTTTTTTAAAAATAAAAAAATGCATATTTAAAGTCATATTATGAAAAAAGACCTTAAAAGAGAATTTTGTACGTCATTTTTGTTTCTTCAAAATGACCAGAAACACTAGTCCCCTCTTGGCCAGTGTAGAGCGATAGTCCCCTTTTAGTAATATAGACGTGTATGTGTGTGTGTGTGTGTGTGTGTGTGTGTGTGTGTGTGCGCGCGCGCGCGTGTGTGTGTGTGTGTGTGCGTGTGCGTGTGCGTGTGTGTGTGTGTATATACGTATGTATATGTTCTTCTTTTTTTTCTTTTTTTTTTTTTGTACCATCAGTATGACCGTGTTAGTGAGGGAAATGATAGTCAGTAGAGAAAGAGTGGTTTTGAGAAGCTGCCATCTTTTCATTCCTCTGACACATTAGCCAGCCCAGGTCAGCTTCAGCAAGTGCAAGACCAGACTACTGAGAGAAGCACTGATGGTAAATCAAATGAACATGAGACATGTAACCGGTTACTGGTTTTGTTAACTACAGCTCTGAGCCTCAAAAATACTTTAACCTAATTATGGCCATCCATTATTGAAGAATATGGTGATTTTCTGTTCCTAGAATCACGTGTCATTAATTATCATAAGAAAAAATCCACACCTTTGCACGTTATTTCAAAACGCAATTGATTGAAGTTTAATTAATGGCAGGATCAGATTTGTATTCCATGACTTCTGTTCAATCTTTAAACACAGATAAAAACACATGCAGAACTGTTACCACCGGCAAGAAGAGAAAACAGAGTTCTCACCCGGACGAGGGGCCTGCGAGAAAGAGACCTAGGATGAATAGTGTTGAGGTGGCGTCCGCGCCCTCTTCCTATGACCCGAAAGGCAGCTCAGATCAGGGTCAGGATGAGACTGCTGTGCCGATATACGAGAGACATGCTAAAGGTAACTCAGACAACCTTGCCATTAGAATCTGTAATTGTTTTTTTGTTCTGTACAACAAAAACTTGACATAATCCTTCAGCTAGATATGAGCATCCATTAATGGAAGCTTAATTAACCTTAAGCATAATCATACAGTAAATGCCCCTAACTGAAGAATCATCATAATGTATGAGAATGAAGGATTTCATTATTATTTAATTTAACCATGTTTTTGGTTAATATTTTCAGAATTCTATCAAAATGTAGTGGCAGATTTCAGTGGCCTCGAAGTCCAGCCGCCTGCAAATCCGCCAGATATTTTGAGCCGGTATCAGTTTGGCAGAATACTTGGTAAGGGAGGATTCGGCATTGTCTATGAAGGGAAACGCCTGGAGGATGGCCTTGAGGTATCATTATTCTACATACAATATTAGTGTATATTATGTCCACTTTTAGTGCCCTTGTTTTGACAAATGTTTTGTTCTGTTGATCAGGTGGCAGTAAAAATTGCCAGAAAGCCGAGGAAAATGCAGTACATTTCCATTGTAAGTAGACTACTCTTTCCATGTTCTTTGACATTTATAAATGTAAAACATGTAAACAATTTGTTCAAGACTGGGCTAAATCTTGATTTGGGAAAGCACCCCCAACTAACAATGATCTTTCTTCTAGCCTGGTCATCCCGCACCCCTTCCATTAGAGGTCGCCCTGTTAATCCTGGTTAATAATAGGGAGCCTAAAGTTACACAGATCATTCAGCTACTGGACTGGCAGGACGAGCTGGACTACTACATCATGGTTTTGGAGCGCCCCTTACCATGCACAGATCTGCTTAACTTCATTAGTCTCTTTAGAGGAACTCTCAGTGAATTTGGAGCACAACTTGTCATGTGGCAAGTAACGCATGCCGCTAACGCATGCAGTGCCAGTGGAGTTCTCCACCGAGATATTAAGATGGAGAATATACTGATCAATCCAGAAACATTAGAGACTAAACTGATTGACTTTGGATGCGGGGATCTCCTGAAGAAATCTGCATATAATTATTTCTCTGGTATGTATTAAGACATAAAACTGTTGTTTAGGACTTAAACTGTAGCATGTCCTAGAAATATATTTCAAGCCTACTCATCAGACACAATGTCTTTCCTTCAGGCACACGTGAATATCGCCCCCCTGAGTTCAAAACAGAGGGCAGGTACCATGGGAATCCTGCAACTGTGTGGTCACTAGGAGTCCTCTTATTCAAAATTGTGTTTGGACACTTTCCAGGACCCAGTGAACTGCGGGTGATTAATTCGGGCACTTGGATTCAGCCTGGCTTGTCACACGGTGAGATGGTATTCATCACAAAAAGATAAAACCTGTGCCAGGAATTCTGGAAGTTCTGAACTTACAGTTTAGAATCTCAAATCTTACAGCTTATTACAAAGATAGCAGATGTAAAGTTCAAGGTTATAATCTGACTCTCCCGTCTCTTTGTCTCTCATCGTTCTGCACAGAATGCCGTCTTCTGATTCAGTGTCTCCTGCAGCTGGACCCAAGCTGACGGATTGGTTTGGAGGAAATCCTGTCCCATTCATGGTTTCAGTCACTGAGCCCATGATCAGAAGAGGTATTCACATTTTTTTGACTCCCTATTATTATGCATTTGTTTTTATATGTTGTATCTTTATTGTTTGTGACACAATTCTGAAGTCAAATCTCTAAATATAATGTCTGAAGACAATAACTTTCTGTATTTTGTTTCAGGCCATCCTGTAAGGAAAAAAGAGATCAACCTGATTGACTTTGGATGCTGCAATGTCCAAATGGAATCTGGTTATAATCAAGTTTGTGCAATGTATTATAACTGCACAAAACACCACAGACGTACCCGGGGTGGATGCTGGGACCCGACCCGTACGGCATAGCAGCCCGGAGGGAGGTCTGTGTGTGTGGTGCAACACGGACCCGCTTCCGTCGAAGGGCAGAGGGAGTGTGCGGAGGTGTCAGTGCGTCCGGGACACAGTCACTGCTGTTCGCTGGCGATGGAAGAGGGGCTTAGGGGTGACAAGGCATAGCGTCGTCGACCACCAACCGCGCCCTCTTGGGACCCAGATGTTTCAGAAATTGCTCTTTTGTTGAAAATGTTTGTGACAGTGAGATCAGACAATGAAGTGGGCGCAAAAGCGTGCTGCCCCAGTATGTGCAAGAAACTTTCATCCACACCATTGGACACTGTTGTACACAGCTTGAACATTTTTTAAACTACTGAGTTAAAATTCTTGCGCTGGAATGCGCTGGAACTGACACAAAGTAAGAAAATAACAGAACATATTACTTTCAAGTTCTTGAAACACATCTTCAGATGCACCTGAACACATCATGAGTGATGTAACCTGGGGTCCTCGGTGTTTTGGGTCTTTCAACGTCAGACACCCTCTCCCAGGCGACCCAGCCACGGCTGATCAGACCGCGACTTGTGTTCAGGTAGCACTCGCTTGCCCCCATGGTGCTCCTCTACGGATCCAGAGCCATCTCGAGGCTCTCTCTGCTGCGTCGGTGGTGTTCTTGATGGCTCTGCTCCTTGTTGTTCCTGCAATGCCCAGCGCAGTAAGGGCTTTGTGGAGGGAGCGCCCCACAAATCCTCTGCAGCCAACCTCGATAGTCATGCATCTCGCCTTCCAGCCCTGTGCTCAGCAGTCTGTGACCAGATGTTCATATTTTGTCATCTTCCTTTCGTGGGCTTCTCCCGAACGGTCCTCCCATGGCACGGTCAGCTCCATGATGATTATATTCTTGGTGCTCTCTGAGACTAGAATGATATCTGGCCTCATAGTTGTGCTGACGATGTGCTGGGGGAATTTCAGCTGCTTCTCCAAATCCACAGAAAGTTTCCAGTCCTTGGCTGATGCCAGGATTCCTGCTGGTGCCTTCCTCCCTGTTTGCGGCTGTTCTCCTGCCCTAACAAATGTGATTGGGCGAATGGTGTTGCTGCCTTGGCCGATCTCTGTGCTGATGGCGTCTGCAACAGCTTTCAGCACCTGGTTGTGACGCCAAGTGTTACGACCCTGGCCGAGCGCTGTTGGGCAGGAGCTCAAAATGTGCTCCAGTGTTCCACAAGCTGGGCACAATTGGCAAGTTGGTGTGTCTGCTTTCCCCCACGTACAAAGATTTGCTGGGCTTGGCGGGACATCGTACACTGCCCGAATCAGGAAGGCTATGCGGTGCGGCTCGCTTTGCCAGAGCTCCGTCCAGGTGACCTTGCGGTCCATGGCCTGCTCCCACCTGGTCCAGGCCCCCTGTTGTTGCCCCATTCCAGCAGCTCTGCTCAGCCTTCCTTCCTCCACAGTAACTTCTTCATATATTCGGCTGCGCTTCTCCTTCCCCTTCAGCTCTTGTCGAGGAGGTGTTGGGAACATCCCCAAGCCTGCTCTGCCTCGGGCCACGACTCCCACAAGCTCTTTGTGTTGAGCCTGTGCATCCAGCACAGCGGCTTGGGCACTCCACTTCCTCCCTGTCTTCGCCAGAACTCCTGCCTGGGCCACCTTTGGGTCGTTGGAGTCTCTATATATCAGGGGCCAGTTGCACCAACAGGGCTTTACTAAGCCTGGTCCTAACTGCTAAGTAGGTCATACTTAAGACCAGTCTTTAGAGTTGACCTAACGTCGGTTGCACCGACCAAACTTAAGCCTAGGCATAACTACGCCTGGTTTTAGCGATGCGCGTTCCTGTGAATGGCCATGGAACTATAGTGGTTGCTTAGCAGCGTGCGTTGCTGTGGTTACGTTGTAAACTATCTTACGCTGTTTGGTTAAATTGAAGCCGTATCAATGGAGGATCAAAGAAAAAGTAAAGGAAATTTCACTGACATAGAGATACGAAAACTAATAGAGCTGTACAGCCAGCACAGACACACACTGACTGCCAAGCAATCAAACGCAGTAACTAACAAGAAGAAACAAACAACATGGAGACAGATAACGGAAGCGATTAACGATTGCTCTGACTCCGGCTGCTTTCGGACAGAGAGCGATGTCAGAAAAAAGTGGAAAGACCTCCTGAGCAAGGCAAAAAAAGATTTTTCTTCAAAAAAACACCACCCGACCGGCGGGGGTCCACCCTCAAAAACATCTGTGTACAGTGACATAATTGTTGATATCTTTGGAGAGGATTCCCCGGCTTTAATGGTTTGATCGGTGCGGAAAGTGGCGGTATCGACATAGAAACTGCCGTCTCTCCAGAGATGGATGACGACCACTCAAGCGAGAGTGTTAATTGTGGAGGTGTGTAGCCTAGATATTAGAGTAGCCTAACAGTTTTAGTAGTTGTCAGATAACAGTATCCCTATGACAGATTATCTGTGTTTTCAGACTCGATAGAGCCGCCAGTCACTCCTCAAAGTTCGTATGAAGGCAGCAGTGGTGCACCGCCGGGGAAACGGATGAGGAGGCTGGAAAGTCTGCAGCAGACACTCCTTGAAAAAGAAATTGTTAGAGTGGAGGCTGAAACAAAAAACTTACAGACCGAGCAGGAAAAGCTGGAAATTGAAAAGCAAAAAATATCATTAGAAATAAAGTTGCTCCAAACACAGATAGGCCTAAATAGATCATCTTCACCTATTTCTGAAGAGGATGGGCGGTCTTTTGTAATTCTGTAAATAAGCCTAATGGCAAATTGTGTGAAATAAATCAATGACAATAATATGTACATTAAAAAAAAGTTTATTATAGTCCTACTGGGACTTTCTTTGTTGTTTATTTTTTATGCTTTATGGTTTAAAACCTGCAGAGAATAAGTAGAATTATTTTAGGTGAAGCAATAGTTTTACAATAGTTTACATTTACACATAGGCGGAAATCGCGGGGGGGTCGGGGGGGTCAGGACCCCCCCTATCTGAGGGTTGTCCCCCCCCAAAAAACCATTAAAATATGTGTATTGTAAATAATGTAATGATATATTCTTAAAATAATTAAGAAATAAAATAACACAAATGCAAACGGGGCAATTACGAAAAAAGCGTTCTAAACATTTTGAGACCCCCCTCCCTTGCCTCACAGTGCGTTGGTCCACCGCCTCCGTCCCTTTTACCTCAGACACACACATTCCGGTGGCGGGAGAGAAAAACATAGTGTTTGAATAGTTGTGGAACTCCAGTAAAGTAGGTCGCACACCGGACGAGAAGCGTAGGGGCGCGTCGCGCAGCGCCACGTCTTTAAAATTCGAACACATTATTCTCTATGAGTGTACACACACCGGCGGCGCCGTTCAGCGTCTGTCCGCGGCGCCCAGCAACGGCTCAGGACCGTGTTCAAAACCCTGCTGCGCCACAGAGCGCCATTTACATAGTTTTATATACAATTTAAATGATTTTTGTCTCAAATCGGTGCTGACGGATCCTGACTTCGCCCTATGCTGCAATATACATTTAGTTTTGCATTCATTTACAGAAATCAGCTGCTTGAATGACAATTGCTGATGTTATTGGATTTTTCAGGTGAGATTCTCAATTCATTCAGTTAACGCATGCTCTGAGGTAAAGTTTTCAGACCGCAGACTCAGCAACGATTGTATTTAATTGTACACAAAAATAATAACAGACACTATCTTCATGTCATTAAACATTACAATATTACTGGCCATACACTGATTAGAAAGTCCGGGTGCGCTGTGCATTTAGATTCTAACGCTTTCACTGTGATTTAGTTGGTTTATATCATTTAATATAGTTAAAGAATTAGTCATTGAATGAAATGAAATCGCTGCGCTGCGTGAGGAGAGTATGTAAACAGATTCGCCGCTGGCTTAATTTTAAGAAGTATAATGAAATGGTCTCCATGCTACACTAATAATAGTAGTAAGGCTTTCCTCTGTATTTTTTGCCTGTATTATTGGTGTCCCCTTCAAAATTTGCTCTTGAGAATTGTTATGTTTATTGTCCCCCCCAACATTTTGATGAAATTTTCGCCCCTGCATTTACATTTTATAGTTTTACATTTATAAAGAATTAATTATGCGTGTACAGACTAGTCGTCCACCAACATCTTCATGCCTGGTCCACAGGTTCGACATCTTCCTCCGGCACCGGCTGATGGTGTCGCCTAGGGAGAGGGATCCTCTTGGCGACACAAATGTTGTGGAGGACAGTGCACGCTGCTATTACGGTGCAGACTCGCTCAGGGTGCATCCGTACCTCTCCATGAAGACAATGAAACCTAGAAAAAATAATTAATGATTACTTACTTTGATTGGTGACTAATCAAAGTTTAACCTGATAAAAAAAATATATTAAATGTAAATCCGTGTTATATTTTATCTGCAATAACAATGTGGGTTTTTATAAAGATCCGTTTGGCCATTGACTTTTAAATGTATCATTATGCATTAATATGAGGAGAGTCTCAGTATAGTTAGTAGGCTATAGTTAGTATAGTATAATTTTCAGTGATCGCACTTTATCAGTGCCATGGATAGCGGCACAGGCAAAGGATTTTACCTGCGCTTGAGGACTCCGATGCACCGCTCAATGACTGACCTAGTGGTGGTGTGGATGGTGTTATACTGTCGTTCTTGCTCAGTCCTCGGACCAAT